CTACGACTACGACTACGACTACGACGAGGACAACGGTTTGTAAGCTAAGAAAGGACAGAGGGAGAGAAAACGAGTGAGGACGAGGGAGTAGTAAATCGTATGTACGAAGTGTGTATATGATATATCAAAGCGGAAAAAAAAAGTAACAGAAACATTACGTGGACGGGTTAGCCTCGGGAGAGACCGGGTTAGGAGAGAAGGTTCGTCGTCTGGTCGACTCCTAGACGAGCACATTTCTCTGTTCTGTCATCGACAGGCCTAAGTGAATACTGCACCTAGAAATATCGACAACGCGATAACAACGATCACGACCACGGCGGCAACGTATTTGCCATTGAGGAGGCACGGATATGCCTCGCTGGTCGGTGCTGTGACACGCGCCGCGCCGTGTGCTGGCTGAACCTCCCGGAAGAGAGCGTGGGCCTCCGTCTCAAAATACTGTGCAGTTTCTACCGCACGCTTAAGAGCCAAGTAAGTGAAAATAAACACGCGTACAATCAATTTTTTTGCAATATGTATTCATTTATTTTGACCCCGATCGAGAGAAAAACTTCTTTGTCTAGGGGAAATAGTAAGAGTTGTTTCGGAACATCGCACTCCGGGTTCCCATCCAAGAAGCCGAGAGTGTGTTTTACAACGTACCTTTTTTTCTATCGCAGTCTCTATCGTGTATGAAAGATATGTTTACTGGAGCGCATAAACTGAAAGAAACGAATGAAAAGAAAAAAGAAATGAGAGGGAAGAAAAGAAAAAGAAAAAGAAAGGAAAGAAAAGAAAAGAATGGCCCGTTATTTCGGGCGCAACCGATTTAGTGCGTCGAAAGTCGCTGGCATTTCTTACGATCAACCGCGAAAGCGTGCACTGATTCTAGGTTTCCTCATGACCGTGCCGGTAGCACGCCTAACTAGGGATACTCTAGTCCCGGCTTGGCTCTTTAAACGGCTCTATGTATTGCGTGCGAATCGTGCCGTTTCTATGTGTGCGTATCCGTGTGATGTGTGTGCGCGCGCTCGCATAATCGCGCTCCCTCGTTGTCCGCTCGCTCTCGTATGCATGGCCGCTTCGGTGCGTGGCGTGCGGATTTATATCGCAAACACGCATTATCTGTGTTCAATAAAATTCGCAATAAGTTTGTTGTTTTGGCCGTGGTCGAACATTTTACGTGGTTATTTCGAATACACTAGAAGAAAAAAAAAACAAACAAAAAATGAAATGAAAACAACTTCTGAACCTTCGATCGACGTTAACAGCTGATTGCGATCACTCTGTACGAACAATCTGTAAGATCAGATCCATTGTGATGCATATACGGCTTTTTTTTATCACTGCAAAATGATAAAAGAAAGGGAACGATTATTCGGGTCCTGTTGATAGAGACCTGTGCGATTTCCACGAGCGGAAGAACGAGAAAAAAAAAAAGGGGGACAGCAAGGTTCGTCACTAACATCTGGGGTCTGAAACCTTGTACACATGGGGCCATGCCTATTTATCTGTACAATATCCATTCGAAACTTCTGCTATATTTCTCATCTCTGGTGCACTGCACACTTTTCGGATCTCCATATTCCATGAATTTGCGAAAAAAAAGAAAAGAAAGATAAAAAGATTTAAAGGAAAAAAGTAACTGTTGCATCAAACGAAGGTATTGGGCTTATTGCAGTTATTACTTCCTTAAAGGTCGTTCGCGTGGATCGTTTGTGAACAGACGTTACGTCTAGTCTTTTAAAGAGCACGCTCCTACCAATCGATGGGCTCTAGGCTAGTTCTACATCCAATGCCGTTGACGCGAGTTACACTAGTCTGGTTTTATCTTTGAGATAACATCCTACCAATCAATGCCTCCTCACCGTGCATTGCTCCCAACTTTCGAATGCGCTTTACTGTGCTATTGGCCTCGCGATCGTTTGCGTTGTGTACGGTGTGGTACGGTGTGTACTCGGCCAAACAGGCGAAAACGAGACAACCACGCAGTTCGACCGGGAGTTTGCTTCTAAAACTGCTTACAACGCAAGGCTGCTGTAACACGACGATCCTGCGGCGTGCCTCTTTAAACCACACCCGGAACGCTGCCTCGTGTTCTCGGGACGCTTGATCTTTTTTTCGAAAATTCTCGTACGCGTCTGTATCGTGGGTCTCTCACTCTGCTCAGGCGCGTAACGAGTCTTTTGAAAACGGGGGCCTGAAGAACGATTTTCTTCTCTTTTTTTTTTTTCGCGGCTATTTTGTTTCCGCGGTGGTCTTTCGGCTTCCACGCGATGAAACATCGTGTCGTAGAATCGGAATAAATAGATAATGGGAGGGAATAACTCTAGGGAATTTTTTTTTTTTTTAGTTGAGCCATTGGAAATTAATCGGGAAATAGTATTTCAAATGTCATTATTCAAAAAGCGAAATTTAGATTTCTCTTGAATTAGTAATATTTTATATGATAACGTTTCGAATAAATAATATACGCATCATTTGCCTATGATTAAGATTATTTTTGATATTTATTTTAAACAATAATATAATTGTTTCCTTAACTTGTTTGTTAAAGTGATTGAATCTTATTAATTCCCGATGTTGCTGCATAGTATAATATTATCGTTTCTATAAAAATTACAGGAAATGCCTAAAAAAATCACAAGTCACATAACGAACAATGTCTGTTTCAGTTTCTTTTTGTTTTTGTATTTATTTTTTCTCGATCTTTGCAGCTGCTGTACACTTGCATTAAAATACAACAGAAATTGATCTGTAGGTTTCACCAGATATTCAGTACTTGCAGAATTGTCACCTTACCGTTTGGTCCACCACTTCCGTTTCGTTCCTTTCCTTTCCTTTTTTTTTTTTTTTGTCACAGATTATTTTTATGTACCATTAGATTCTAAATATTTAAATTTGTTTTATATTTGAAACGTCATTATTTTCTCCAAAATATTATCATTTAGATATAATTCAAGTATATAATAAATAAAATATTTTATCATAAAAGTGTCAAAAACAAATAAAGAATGATATAAAAAAATTACATCGAATAGATCAGTTAAACATTTATGTAAATGTCGTATTGATTGTACTATGATAGAGTTAATTCTTACCATTGCCCGTATATTTTCTATCATTTTTTTATTGCAACATGAAAGTTTGTCATTTCCTTCGTGAAAACAGATGCGAAATTCTTTGGAACACGAGTTCTATTATTAGAATCTGCCAATGTTGCTTGATTCAAGAACAAAAACCTTTTCCCCTATGTTGTCTGTTCTTTGATATGCATCTAAACAGTCATTTCTCCTTAAATGTGTTATCGCGACCGAATAAAATATACTCACAAATGGATGGCACTGACAAAAACTCAAGAATGAAGGGACAACGATCGATAGAAATTTTTATCGGATCCGTACATCTCGCTGTCAATAATTTTCATATATAAATGGTATATTTTTGATAAAGCATATACTACAAACAAGGTTAACAAGGTACTAATATGTTAAGATGTTGCATTTCATATTATTCGATCAATTTTTTTTTTGCACTTTTAATCTTCATTAACGAATATCTAGGCAGATAATCTTCGAGTAATAAATAATTTTTTGCGACAAATGGTATCAAATACGTCTGCCAAAACAGTATACATTTATTAACCTTCATACACGATGTGTACTGTATGACACGTTTTCTTTAAACCTTCGACTCAATTTAACGTAACAAAATCAAGGAAATATACTTATAAAAGTCATAATCAGCATTATTAACATTCATTTTATTGTTAATAAATTATTAATAAATAAAAATACAGATATATAATTATGTTGAAAAAAAAGTTTATTAATATAGAATGTAATTAGTGATTTAAACTTATAGAATAAAAGATAGTTTTTAAATAGTATAGAAGTGTTTTGTTAATATTTTGTATTTGCTAATAAGTTTATTGTAATATCTTGTATATTTTATGAGAAAATTTATAAAATATTTGTGTTAGGTATTATTTCATTGTGTACTTTCTTAAAAACGAACATTATATTTAGAAATATTTATATTTTCTTCTCTTAGATAACAGTCTTCTTTAATATGCGTCATTTAAATTATATATACCGTATAATTTACAGTAATGTTTTTATATGATGTAAGAAATTTCTGACTAATTGTTTTTCCCAAATTGTAATTGCCATTGAAACTTAATTTTAATACAAATAAAAGTGTTTGATATCAGATGGATAATAAATCTTATTTGTCGTTTGTTATTAAAAGCATATATTTAGTAGAGTTATTCTAATAAAATACAGAAGTTTCTAACATACTGTGGTATAATTTTCCTATATCCTATGATATTAAATATTTGTGTAATATTTAAAATTCTCCATTGAAAATGATTGAAGAAATTAATATTTACTTTCAGTATTCAAATTACCTTTTTCAATATTATTTATCTTAAGATTATTACCTTTTACATAATGATGACTTATCTTTTACATAATCATCTTCATATTGTGTAAACTTATTATTTTATATGTTTTGTCATAACTTATAGATTCTCAAAAACAATAAAGATGCCTCGAGTAAGGAGACAAGTGATCTTGGAAGATCCTGCCAGGCCCGTCACACCTGATATGGTAGAGACTAAATTACGTATGTATCAATTGCAAATCATTATTTTTAATTAATTCATCTATATATTTTATATACACATGAATTACTTTTAGTAAAAACAGAGTTTTTGGACGATGGGTCTTTAGATGAAGTTCAAACACAAAAAGTAGCTGAAGAAACACCAAGTCCTCATCTTCAAGATCACCAATATGGGCAAACACCTTGTTATCAAGTGACAAGAAAACCTACACAACCACCACCACGAACTGAAGTAAATAAACCTATATTTACATTGACATAATTTTTACATTAGTTCCAGGTGAACAGATTCATTCAATCAGTTATGTTATTCTTGTACTATACTATAAAATTTTAAATATTATTAAACGATAATTTTGAAAAATCAATTATTGTCATAAATAGAATTACTTTTTGAATTTTCTCAAATATTTAATCTAATTATGATATATTCTGTAATAATAAAATATTCTGTAATAACAAAATTAATATTGCAATATTACTTATTATTTATAGCAAATATCAGTTCAGGCGGTGAAACGAAGACTGAATTTGGAAATGGGTACCACAGGTCCTAGCCAATCTGCCTTTAAGGCTCCTAGAGGTAAACGTAGGAGATCTGGATCAAGTTCTCTAGCAGCTGGCCACACTCCTACAAAAAGTAAATTTCATTTCTTTTTCTTGATATATTATCGTTCGCATCAATCTTGAAGAAAAAGAAACGTTATCTTTGATTGCAGGTAAAGCAGTAGAGAGAACGCGATATGATACATCACTGAGCTTACTTACAAAAAAGTTCATACACTTAGTCGAGAGCAGTCAGGACGGTGTTGTAGATTTAAACGTAGCGTCTGAAAAGTTAGAAGTACAGAAACGTCGTATATACGACATTACGAATGTATTGGAGGGCATAGGTATTTTGGAAAAGAAAAGCAAAAACAATATACAATGGAAGTACGTTATTCGTTATTTATCAAAAATCAAATACCGATCTTTTTCATCGATAGATAATTTATTCTTAATTAATTGTTTTATTTCGCAGAGGTGGTCAATTACCAAATGACAAGAACGATATCGCTGATCTCAGAAGGGAAGTAGCAGATTTAGAAGCTAAGGAAAATACTTTGGATCGATTGATTCACGGCGCTGACAAAAATCTTAGAGAGCTATGCGCAGACCGACAATACGCTTATGTAACGTATCATGATTTACGTTCTGTTCCAATGTACAAAGACCAGGCTATAATGGCAGTGAAAGCTCCGCCAGAAGCCACACTTCATGTTCCACAACCTATCAATAACCTTGGCCAACAAAAGGTGATTACTATTATAAAAATTATTGTTGGAAGTAGAATCAAAGTATTTCTGTGTAATTTAATAATTTGTCTGTAATTTAGTATTTCTTGATCATTTATTTAATCAAGTTATTTGTAATGCTTACAGCTGCAAATGCACATGAGGTCATCTCATGGTGAGATAGAGGTATTCCTGTGCCCTGATGATCCTACCGTGAAAACGTCTCCCAATCCGGGTTATACGACGACGCAACCTGTGCCTTCGTCAAAAGAATCCGAAATATCTTGCCTGCCTCCTGAACTGTTAGCCAACGGAGATAACAGCGTTCAGGTTGAACCAGTACCTTCTCTCGAGAGTTCGTTGAATACACATTCGGATACACCGGTTATATCTACAGTTACTAGTTCAGCAGGCATGAGAGACGCACTTTTGTGTGAATCTGACGATTATGGACCAATGGGTGGTGGCAAATTCCAACTCCAAACGGAGGATCAAATTAGCACTTCAGGTAGGGTCGCGCATATTTTTTAAATTAGGATTTGTTAAGATTTACTTTTTAGTCTTTATTTTTCCTTCGTTTCTTTTTTTAAGCGAATTTGTAAATGCTTTTTATAGTAAGTAAGAAATTTAGCGAAGCAAAGTTAATGCATTTGTATACAATATTAATTTCTATTCTTTTTTTTATAATTTTTATAATTATTTCTTTTTTTACGCTGTTTCTCTTTGCACGCACGCTTTTGAATGTTTCGCTTCATTTTATCATCACATGCTAATAATTGCAAGAAGATAAACAGAACCTGTTTAGATATTGATATAAATATCTAAAAAATATTAAGCTTGTTTTTATCTTCTTGCATCATTTCTCAAGTTCCTTAAATTTGTTATGTATATTAACATATTTATGGTAATTTATAATGATACTGAAACAATGCTTTGAGAAAATATTAATTTTCTGTTAACTGTAATAATTAATTTCTAATCATTGTTATTAATTTTCTATTATGCTGTAATTAATCAGTATCACTTTTTCACTTCTGTCTTTATTTTTCTCTTTTTTTTTTTTAAATTATTGTTAACACAGTTGTACTTTCACTTTATTTTGTTTTGTTTTATTTTATTTTATTTTATTTTATTTTATTTTATTTTATTTTATTTTTTAATAAAAAAATTTTCACCCTGTAGTTTATTATTTCTATACTTCATATTTGAAATATGTTTCTTCTTTGCATAAACAAATTTGTCATTTTGATATTCAAATTTTGTTTAAATACTTGAAAGAAACGTCATGCATGCCGTTAATGAATTCTGTAACATTCCTCACAATAAAATAACCTCTTCAAAAAAAGAAAGATAGCAACAATTTCATTATTTTTCATTATTTCACTAGTTCCACTGATTTGAGCTATCTTTTTTTTCCTTGGTCTTCTACTTTTTCAACAATGGAGAATAGCCGCCGTACCCTGATGGAGCTCTGGCTGTGACTTGTGTGTTAACAAAATGGAAATCACATCACAGGCAGAGTTCTAGTTAGGTAACGGTTTCAAACAGCAAACAAGTTCGCGAAGGTACGTTTCATAGATCAAATAATTATTGGCTTGTCTGTGTGTTTCAATTGTTCTTCCGATATTCATCTTATTATTGGAACAGATTACTTTCTTCCTACTCTGCTCTTTATCTTTATATGTAGTATGTTGTTGGAACGTTATATTTTATTAGTGATAATTATCTAAATAAAAATTGGGAACTGTTAAAAATTAATTATTTTTAATTTTATATTTAACCGTTTGCCTGCTTATAATAATAACAACATCAGTCTATTCACTTATTATTGTTAAACTATATAAGTGTGATGAATAATCTACAAAATTTTAATATTATCGAAAATAAACAAAGAAATCAATAAAATACATGATTCACTTATTACATGATTGGTGATTGAAAAAGGTGAACGAACTTTTCAATTTTTATTACAAAACAATAAATTAATATAACAATTTTAACAGTTTGAATCTCACTAATGAACGTTCAACTTAAATAATAAATATTCTTGTCAAAAGTATCAAGTGATCAAAAAATAATTTGGATGATAATTAAATGCCTTTTACAAAGGAAATTAATGAAAGTTCTAATAAAAAGAAATGAAATGGAAAAAAAAGGAATAGACTATGAAGGCGAAAATGTTCGATGAGACGGGACAATCCCAGCATTTTCTCTGTCTTTTGTTGCAGATCTAAGTATTCTCGATTTCGGTGAGCACCTGCTATCTCTGGAACCACCTCTCTCCGAAAACGACTATTCGTTCGCGTTAGGAACGGAGGAGGGACTTTCGGATCTCTTTGATTTCAAATTTTAAAGGGTATCGTCCTTATTCGTCGTCGTTGTGACACAGCACACACAGAAACCCAGAGACACCGCTGTCTTTTTTTTTTTTTTTTTTTTTTTTTTTTTTTT